CCTGGTGTCTCGTCTTCTTAGGTCCCGGCTTTTATGGCTTCTTTTATACCTCTTTAAAGGCCCTGTTTCCACATAGAGTCACATTGAGGGTTGGGGTATATGAATTTTGGGGGGACACAATTCAGTCCGTAACACTGATTTTGTCTTTTATTATCGATAGCAAGAGAGGAGTGCTGAAGCATCCAACCTGGGATTTATCTGTTGCTGTTTTCAGTTCTATCAGTTTTTGTTGTATGTATTTTGAGGTTCTTCTCAGCTTTCAAATTCTGTGATTCACTGTGTGCGCCTCCCCCCCCCCCCCCGGTTTTTTTTGAAGATTTTCAAACATGCTTAAATGTTGAAAGAATGGTACAGTTAACACGATGGACCTACCAACTTAGATTCTACAACATTTTCTTGTATTTGCTTTATCACATATCCATCCCTCTGTTTATTTCATCAGTCTATCTTATTTTTGTATGTATTTCAAAGTAAGTTGTAGCACTGTATCTCTAAACGCACTAAACACTCTTAAACATGTCATTAATTTGAATTTAATAATTGTTTAAAGTTCTTTTGGGGGGGATTAAAATTTTCATATAGTGAAATGTACACATCGTGAGTTGGTTGTACATCTTGCTGTCCATAGTCCTATGGTGTGGGATTTCTGGGGCATTTGTATATTGTTGCTTTGTGCATAGATTTTGGGATCTTGATTTTGCTCATCTTAAGAGGAGGACTTACAGATAGAGTTGACTGATTTAAGTTATCAGATTTGTATTTTTAGGGGTTTGTTTAGGCCAGAATTAAAATGATTGTATAAGTAGGATCAGTTATTAATTCAGTAAGTATTTTATTTATTTTTGTCTTGATGTTTAATTGTTGTAAAATATACATAACATAAAATCAACATCTCAGCCATTTTTAAGGGTACAGTTCTGTGGCATTAAGTACATTCACATTGTTGTTGTGCATTTATCTCTTGAACTCTTTTCATGTTGTAAAACTGAAACTCTGTAACCATTGAACAACTCCCTATTCCTCCCTCCCCCACCACCTGGCAACCACCATTCTACATCCTGTTTCTATGAGTTTGACTAGTTAGGTACTTCATATAAGTGGAGTTTATGGTATTTATCTTTTTGTCTCTGGCTTATTTCACTCAGCATAATGTGTGAAAGGTTGTCCCTCTTGTAGCTTGTGTCAGAATTTCCTTCCTTTTCAAGAGGGAATACTATTCTGTTAAATGTGTAGAACACATTTTGTTTATCCACTTATCCATCGATGGACACTGGGTGGCTTCCACCAGTATTTATTGAGCACCTCTTATACATCAGTCACCTTTCATTAAACAGACATTTGTTGACTGCCTTAATGGGCCAGGGCTTGTTCCAGGCAAGGGGGATACTGCAGCAGTGAATATATCAAAGTTGCTGCCTTGAAGAAGCAACACACAATTGATTCTAAGTTGCATTTTTCATATTTTAGTGTTTCTAAAACTGGGTGAATTTTATAATTGATGCCATCTTAGAATTTTGTAAGGCAGTGTTTCTTTTTTAGTGACACCTAAAATAATGGTTTATCTTACAGTTTGAATCATAGATTTGATGAATCACTGTTTAATAAGTCAGTTGTTGATAAGTGCTATGAAAAAAATAATCCAGAACAAAGGGGATAGAACGTTAGTTACATGGGGTATTCACAGATAAGGTGACATTTGAGCAAAGCACATGTTCAGTTCAGTTGATTTTTTTTTTTTCTTCAAAGTGAGACTTCCTGAAGGATGCAGTGTGCTGGTTCACATTCTGCTGCAAACTTCATACCTAACTGTGTGACTGCTAGCAGTTCGTGGACTGGTTACTTTGGGTAGCATTGGTGTAGAGGGTAAAGCGCTGGCCAAGTGGGGATAGGGATGGGGGTTTGGGAATATTCTCAAGATGGGCCTAGGTCTTGTACACATAGGAAAGGCAAGGATGTTGGAATTTCCTTCCTTCCTTTCTCTCTCTCTCTTCTCTTTCTTTCATTCATTCATTCATTCATTCATTCGTTCATTTATTTATTTCGAGGTAGGGGGCAGAGGGAGAGAGAGAGAATCCCAAGCAGGCTCTGTGCTGTCAGTGCAGAATCTGACATAGGGTTTGATCCCATGAATTGTGAGATCATGACCTACCTGAGCCAAAATCAAGAGTTGGACGCCCAATGACTGAGCCCCCCAGGAGCCCTGGGATTTTCCATCTTAGTAACTGGCAGCAGTTTTTCCAGTTGCTCAGAACAAAAACGTTGACTTCTCCATTTTGCCCGTACTTTACACCCAGTCAGCCAGCAAATCTTGCCTGCTGTGCCTTCAGAGCATATCCTAGCTCTACCAGTCTTACCACCCCTACCTAAACCACCATGGTGCAGGCCATCCTCACCCCTTCCTGGATTATCATGATAGCCTCCTAAATGGTCTCCTTTCTTCTACACTTGCCTTCCCATAATCTCTTCTCAATATAGCCACCAAAATGATCCTTTGAAAACATGACTGATAATGTTATTCCTCTCCTTAAATCCCCCCAAATATCCTGTCACTCCTAGAGGAAAGGTTAAAGTCCTTATGCTGGCTTACAGGGCTCTGCACTGTCCACTACCCCATTTCTTTGACCTTATATCCTGCCTGTCTGCCTTTTGCTTCTTTTGCTCTCAGCTGCCTTTGGCATCCTTACTGCTGCTTAATCGTACTGAGCATGTTCCTGTCTCAAAGCTTGCTGTTTCTCTGCCAGAAATACAGTTCCCCAGATACCTGCAAGGCCCACTTCCTCAGGTCCCTGCTCAAATGTCACCATATCAGAAGGGCCTTTGAATCACCTTATGTAAGACAACGCCCCTCTTTCCCATCAGTACTGTGCTTTCCCCTAAATCAGGATAGGTTAGGTCATGCTGCGGTGGCAAACAACTGCAAAATATTGGGTACCTTGTCGTTTTAACGACAAGTTTTGTTTCTCACTGACGGTACTCCTCTGTCACCTGGGAGGTCTGCTCCACACTGTCTTCACTCTGGGATCCGTCTCCTAGCCTAGCTGCCATCTTGAGCACTGGCAGAGGGAAACACCATTCACTGCTCTTCAAGTATCTCCACAGGAGTGACATCTATCACGTTTACTTGGCCAAAGCAAGTCATGTTGTCATACCTAACTTCAGCTAGGGGCAGGTATGAGTGGCTAAGCAGTCTTATCATGTATCTGGAAAGAGACCAGGAAATCCATGGTGGGTAACACCACCACACTTTTTATCCTGCTTCATTTTTCTATAGCATTTGTTTCCCTCTGACACAATACATAATCACCTAGCTTTGTGTATTTTCTTTTTTCTCCTGTCTAGGCCACAAAGGAGTGGGACTTTGTCCATCATTAATTACTGCACCCCAGGGTGTAGGATCATGTATGTTTATAAGAGGTGCTTATTAATTTTAGGGCATGGTTGAAATAATCAGAGGTCATCATTTATTTCTTCACTTGGTGACATGTGAGTCAACTCAGGAGTGTGGAACAGGGAGGTTTGAGGAGAGGGGAGGAGGTCATATGAAAATGAGAAGTTGGAGAAAAGCAGTAGATTGCTGGTTGGTGGAGAGCGTCCACTGAGGTTTGAGACTGTGGACCTGCAGGGAAATGTTGCAGCTCAGCCGTACGATTTCCTCCAGTAACATCAAGCTGCTCCTGAGCTGGCAAGGTAGGGGCAGGAATGACTGTCAGGCCCATTTCATGAGGATAGGTGGAAACCCAAGTTGAAGAAGGAAACAGGATCCTCGCTGCCCCTTCAAGGGTGCAACTCTATCACCCCTACTCCGTCTTCTGCCCTGTCAGAAAGATGACGGAGCTTCCCTGGGGCAGAGGAAGCCCTTTCTCCTGGGTGGTGAGAGTGTGGTGGCAAGAGCCGTCTCCCCTCTCTGCATTCTTCGTTTCACTTGCTCCTTATATGCTTTTAAGGTAGATTCTCTTCCCTTCATTTTGTAGGTGAGCAGATAAAAGCTTAAATGGCTCAGGATAGAATTTAGGTTGGTCATGCTCATAGCCACAGTGCTCTTTCGTACTTTTGAGATGCTAGGCAATGAGGAACTCTCAATTTTTAGATTCCCTGGAGCTTTGATTGCAGCTGGGTCACGAAGATAGCACGTAGCTCCTTTTACTAATGGTTCCAATTCAGATGTGTGCAAGACCTTACCAGAAAGGAAACAGTTGGTCTATTTTTATATGCTTAAATGGGTGCAATAACCACATTACCAACTGTAACTAGATTCACTCCCAGGAATTTCTCATGAATACAGTTAAAGTATACTTGACACAATCTGAGAATGTTGCCATCGGTGATACTTTCCCTTGGCCTTACCTGTTGATGATCTGAACATTTCATACGTCCAAGGAGCTGTGACAGGCTGTACCTGGAAACAAGGGTGCAGAGTGGGGAAAAGCCCCTGAGGGTAAAATGGTTCACTGGGGTTGATGGAGGAAGTGTCCATTGAGCTGTAACTTGAAGGCTGTATAAGACTCAGACGCGGCTCTCAGATGAGAAACTGACTTGGGCCCCGGTAGTACCCATGGGGGAAAATCTCAGCATGCCACTGTAGTCAGCAATGGCAGCACTTTTAACTGCCCTTTAAATTTTTTAAATAAATGTTGATGTGAACCCCATGCATGCTCGGAGCTAACTGGTCAATTTAATAGAAGACATCCTCCTCTATTTCTTCACACTTCGGTGACTGTTTTCTTAATGGTGGAAGTTACTGGCTGTAAACTTGGTTTGGTCTCATGTAAAAGCCAAACAACAGTGAACCCCTGCCAGCAAATTCCACGTGTTTTTCCGGTGCCCTTTGATCACTTACCTCTGCAGGTACAGGTTTTGAAAATACATGTTAATAAGAACTAAATTCCAGAGTTTGCAAACTTGGTCTTCATTGTAATAGAAGTGAATTCTCTTACTTTTCACCCAGGTAGTTTTTTAAATCTTAGAATCAATCATTCTGAAAGAAGTTTTCTTTCTCCTAGATAAGGCCCCTCTGTCCAAGGGTCTTTTGCTGGTCCCCAGTGCCCTGTCCCTCTTGCTGGCCCTCCTCCTACCGCACTGTCAGAGGTTCTTCGTGTATGACCTCCAAGCCATCAAGGATGACTTCCAGGTGAGCTCTGTTCTATTGGTCTGCAGGAGGAGAGGAGACAGAACTTTTTCTTGACTTGCTATTTCTTTTCTGCTATTCTTAGTCCCTTGAAGCCTCTAAATTTTTAACAAATGATTATTTATTAATATTCCATTAGCAAGTAAATTTTCTAGTTTTATATTGCTATTTTCAGGAAAGCAGATTATAATGAAGCAGTTGCAGTATATCCTTTTACTACTAGGCATGTCCCTTCTCACTTCTTACTCATGGAAATGCAATTTACAATTTCAAAAGAAAAAACAATGTTAAATCTGGGTTTTTTAAATCATTAGTATGCATTCTTAACATTTTTGGAAACATTTTCATACTTAACATTTCAAAATTTTATATTCAACGTTTGAGTATTGATCAGATGATTGAAGTTCTTCCAGGTCTAACAGATTGTGAATCTATGAATTACTTTTATAGTGGTGGTTATATCAAGTAGGAAATTTCCCTTGGGTTTTTGCTTCTGGGAAGAGCAGAACTCTATGGCTTTTGAGATTTATGGGCTGGTCTCATTGAAAATGCTGCTGCTGGCTCTTGTGTGTGAGTCGGGAGTGTGAAAGGGACGTTCTTGCACCAGTTCCAATGGAGGAGCTTTCCCCATACCACCAGGCAATTCATGGACACCAATTAGGTGTCCTCTAATTCAGCCAGCTCCTGATACTGGCTGGAGATAGTGTTGTATCTCACGGGTTAAGGATTCAGTCCCACAAGGCTGCCTCCTCCTCCTCCACCATGCAAAGCCCAGATTGTTACCTGTGTTTCTGACCAAGTGGCAACAGATTAGGGGTTACCATGATCTCCCCTTTGGACACCAGATGCCAGTTGCAAGTCTAAATTGTTACTAGTACTTAAGACTGGCTGGCTTTAAATCAGAGCCCCATGGCCCCCTCCCAGAGTTCCCATGACCCCCTCCTCAGGTTTGATTAATTTGCTAGAATGGCTCACAGAACTCAGAGAAACATTTTTACCTTTGAATTACTTGTTTATTACAAAAGGATAGGATAAAAGACACAGATAAACATCCAGATAGAAGAAATGCAATGGGCAAGGGATGGGGTAGGGGCACAGAGCTTCCTTGGTCTCTCTCAGGCACCTTGTGCTCGCCAACCTGGAAGCTCTCTGAACCCTGGCCTTTTGGGTATTAATGGAAGAAGCTTCATTAAATCATTGGCCATTGGCAGTTGACCCAGATTCCAGCCCCTGCCTCTTCCCTGGGAGGTCAGAGGGTGGGACTGAGAGTTCCAACCCCCTAATCCTGAGGTTGGTTCCCCTGGCAGCCAGCCCCATTCTTAGGTGCATCTAAAAGTCACACATCGACATAATAAAAGACATCCTTTATGGCCTTCATCGCTTAGGAAATTCCAAGGGTTTAAGGGCTGTGTGCCAGAAATGAGAGTACAAGACCAAATCTATATTTCTTATTATAAATCACAATATCACAGTGTTAGTGCAAATTATGGCATATAACCTACCACCTTTTCTTTGCTACATACTTGAATAGCCATTTTAAGCATAGTACTCTACTTCTGGAACACTGAAACTTTTCTTCATAGTGATATAATTAATACCTTTGTAAATGTTGGAGCTCTCAAGTTCCTCTGAAAGTCTTTCAGTTATTTATCCAAACCACTGCTTTCTGTCAGAATATAATACAGCCTCTGTATTGTTTCAGTTGCTATAATGCACTGGTTCTTGACCCTGGCTACACATTAGAATCACCTGAATAAACTAACCCTCCTCCCACAAACACACGAACACATGCATGTACTCACGTATACTGATGCCAAGTCCTCACCCTAGACCAACTGAGTTGAAAAATCTAGTGGTAGGCCTGGGCCTTGGTGTACTTTTTAATAAGACCCCCCAGGGAATTCTAGTGTATGGCCAGCCCTGAGAACCACTGTTGCAAGGGAACGGAAGGGCCCTTTGGCCCTCAGTTGGTACCTTTCTGATTTGCAGGATTGATTTGGTTTATCTGGCCAAGTAGGCAAAAGTCCCCTTCTAATGCTCCACTTTATGGGCATCTGTGCTCTAAAGGTGGCGACCGCCTACATGGAGGAGTTTTCCATTTGTGTGTATGTCATTATTTTCATTAAATTAGAGCATTGAAAATAAGCAGTATGAAGTAAATGTAATAAATTTGGTAAGGCAGAGATCTAAACAAATCTTACTCTTACTCTGTTTTAAATCCCCATTTAGATTTGGAGGTTGATATGTGGAAGAATAATTTGCCTTGATTTGAAAGATACTTTCTGCAGTAGTCTGCTTATTTATAATTTTAGGATATTTGAAAGAAGATATGGAAGCAGAAAATTTGCAGTAAGTTTTTATGTATTTTTCCTTTGCTACTTAGGTACTGGAAAAAAATGTTTTTGTTTTCTTACTTTTAAATAGTTTTATTTTGTTTAGCTTGGTGTTATTATTAACAGTTATCTTTTAATTATATGATCTTCTATCTGATTTGGAGCATGACTATTAACCAAGGAATTTTAAATTTAAGCCACTAACATAATAAAATGATAATGATAATAGATAATATCAGATGTGTGTGGGCAATAAAAATTTTTATTAGGATTCTGACTTTAATAACATTTTAATCACTTATTTTGCTTAATGGTTTGTATGGTACTTGTTAAAAATAAATCATGCTATAAATATCTATTTTTTTTACCATATTGGAAATTATGGAAGTGTTAATGCATTTGACCAATATGGCTTTACTCCCCCGTTCTGAAAACTCTGTTCTAATAAAAACAAATATTAAAAAGTAATATAGAGCTGGTTCTAATTAAATAAATGTTAGTTTATTTTTCAAAGACTCCTTTCAACACCACTTAAAAATTTTTTTTAATTTACTTTTAATTTATTTTTTTAAAGTACGCTTCACGCTCAGAGTGGAGCCCAATGCGGGGCTTGAACTCATGACCCTGAGTTCAAGACCTGAGCGGAGATCAAGAGTCAAACGCTTAACTGACTGAGCCACATTGGCACCCCTGAAAAGACTCCTTTCAATAATGTTCTTCCTGTTTTATTTTTAGTCCTTTTTGCTGGGTTCCTGGGTTTTGTCGGCCTTGGTTGACTTCATCCTCGTTGAGGCTGTGTGGTATTCCTTTGGTATTGCTGCAGCTGGGAATTTGCCTTCTGGATTGTAAGTAGCCCTCAAAGATTAGCTTAATAATTACTTAAATCTGATTTAAGTTAAGTGACTGTAAATCAGTAAAAGAATATTTTAAACTCATAGATGTAGTAAAATTGATTTTATGGGTAAAAAAAAATCCAATGTATACTTAGTCACATTTTCATTATGTTCTTGAAACAGAATCTGTTTTATAGTCTTTTTTTAGAGAATTTTAAATGAATTTCCTGTCCTGGTCCAGAGGAGAGAATTAATTTTGTATTTTTATCGTGAAATTTTGTCTGTAGTTTTGTGAAGTAATTAAACACAAAAATACAGAATTTAATTAGATTAGGAAATAATTTGTCTGAAGTTAAGCTTCTGAAGAATGATGTTTTTAAAAATTTATATTATTTAGATACTTATGCCAAAGAGAAAGCAAAGTTTACAACTTTGTAGCCAGACTGCAATGTCTAACCTAACTCAGAGTTTGTATGTGTGTATGTATATATGTATGTATGTGTGTGTGTGTGTGTGTGTATATATATATATATATATATATATGCTTTCATATTGTATTGATCTTCTTTAAAAACAAAACAAAAAAATCGTTTATGAAGTAACTAGTATCTAAAAGTAGAGTTAGCACATATAGATAACCTTAGACTGTTGTGGAATTAAGTATCTGAGAGATGAGATACTGTGAAATAAAGATCAGATATTTAAAATTCTGTGGGTATTAACTTCTGCCTTATTTTAATTTAGATGCATGTTTTTGAGGACTGTTTGGATATTGTATATATCTTAATTCAGATTTGCTTTGCTTGTTTACATTAAAAATACAGCTAGTGATCTAAATGGCCTTCATGCATATGTTGTTACTATTTACAGTGTAGCCTTTATGGGGATTTACTTAATTATAGTCATAGTCATTAAATGAGCTCATTAAATTAGCTATTTTAATAATGTGTGATTCTGAATGATATCTGAATGGAGACAGGTAAAGTTCTGTGTCAGAGTCAGATTGTTAAACAGTTTTGTTGAGTTCCAGGGGTTGTAATTATGATCACACTGAGAGGTTTGAAGTGATTCTTCTGCTTTTGCAGACAATAGTGTAGTCATCAGGGATGATTCCATGTTGATTCAGAAAAGCGGCAGTGTTACTAAATCATTAGTTTTCCCCAAACATTTCTTATCTAGGCCAGTTCTTTTTGGTTCTTTATACAGCCTCCTGAGTTACGGAAATATATTGGAAGACAGCATGAATGTTAATTTTGCCATCACCTGAATGAGAACATATTTCTCTTTTCAAATCAGGAGACATTACAGTATGGCTTTTTAGAGTCTTGAAAGCTTTCTCAAACAGACTTCTTGGAACATAAATCTTTATTTCAACAAACTCTGTATTTTGTAAATACATCTTTCATTTGATGGTAGCGAAGCATCAAAAGCTCAGGAGAGGAAACTTCTCTTTTTGTTGTCAGCCTGCTTTATAATTTGCAGTATTTTTCATGTAACATCTCGTTACCGTTTCTTTTCCACCAATGCCAAATTTATCTGCACTCTCTACAATTCTTCATTTCTATTTAATTCTCTCTTTTTTAACCTCACTATTATTAAAACTTCTCCTATAAATGTCACCAGTAACTCATTTTTTTTATTTTTTAATTTTACGTATGTATTTTTTTTTTTTTAATTTATATCCAAGTTAGCATACAGTGCAATAATGATTTCGGGAATAGATTGCAGTGATTTATCCCCTGTGTAACTGACTAATTTTTAAAGCCAGTGGCTTATTTTCAGTTGTTTTATTTGACCTTTCAGTAGCTCATACATGGTTTTGACCTCCCATTATTTCATGAACTAACCTGCTCCCTCGAGCCCCAGCACACTGTTCTCTGCTGGTCCTTTTTGACCTTCTCTACTGCTTGTGGCTCACTCCGGGCTTTCTTGCCCATTCCCATGACTTCCTTCACAGTTAACATCTGTTGTTTGTGTCCCAGTTATTTCCAGTCCATGTTCCTCTCCTGATCTTGCTAGAGTTATATTTCCTGGTGCCTTCTATGACTCAGAGAAAATTTGTCCTGTTCTGGAGCTCTCATCTCTGGGCTTCCATCCCTGTTGACAGCATAGGGCCCGGGTCCTGTTAGTTCGAAGTCCTGTGTAAATCACTCATTCACCCCATCTTCTCTCCTCCTGCTGTCAGGTCAGTCTAAACTCAAATCTTTTCCTGCCTAGATTTTTGTAGCAATTCTCTAACTAGTCTTCCTATTCACTTCAAAGCATCCCATGCAATGTTGTCAGAGGTTAATCCTTCCAAAATGCAAGTTTGACCATGCCACTCTTCCTTTTAAAATCCTTTAAATCCTCATTTCCTTCAAAATAAAAATCAGACTCCTCCAAGATGGCATCGCAGCAGCCTGGAATAGTGGGAATGCAGAGACTTTGCCATCAGATATGCCAGATTTGAGATTCCAGCTCTCTCACGTTATTACGTGTGTGTAATCTTGAGCAAGTTACTTCTCTTAAGTTCCATTTCCTAAACTCAGTTTATAGATGACCCTCGTGTAAATTGAGGGTCAGTACTGTATACTTCCCAGGCAGTGGAAACAATTAAGTAAGCTCTTTCATGCAAACATCCTAGCAGTAACAACCTCACACTGATTTTCTTCTTTCTCTTCAAATCCCTCATAGTCTGGCCCCAGTCCTGTGTCACTTCGTCAGTCACTCAGCTTTCTTAACATGCTGTGTATACGTACACTCATGCCTGCTTGGTTTTCTTTCTGCACCCTGCTGCCCTTTGGCATGAGTAATTGTCCTTTTATGTGTATTCCAATAACTTTATTAAGATCCCTAGCATTTATTACATTGTCATTGTCATTGTCATTATTACCTGGGCCTTCTATGCCATCCTTCTGGCTGTTTGAGGGAGGACTGGTTTTACTTGATGTACTCATGGCCTCACGTTCTGTAATGTGGAAGGGCTAGTCTTGATTACAGTGTAGCCCCACAAAACTATAAAGTAAGGTCTTTGAACCATAGGCCTGTACATTTCTTTTTCTAGTGCTCTGCATAGAAATTATACGTAGCATCTGATACATTCTCACGAGTGTTGTTTGAAATTCAGAAAATGTGACCATTATGTTTTGAAAGTAAAGATAGGTCCATTAAAAGCTATGTACGTCAGATGCTTCTAGTACTCCTTGCCCATCACACACCTGTCCTTGTATACCCATTATTTTTTAGTTGTTAGTATTTACATGTGGACATTATATTGTTTCTCAGAATCAAATGCCTCCAGAATATGTGAGTTTTTACACATCATGTTAAAATGTATCTGATCACATCACTTAATAAAATTATTTTGTAATTGTGTTGTAGATTATTTAGTTTTACTGTGGAAACCATAACATACATTTTCACTTTGTATCAACAACGTTTTTCACTGTATTTTTTTTTTTTAACTGGGTTCCACACCCAATGTGGGGCTAGAACTCATGACCCTGAGATCAAGAGTTGGATGCTCTACTCACTGAGACAGCCAGGCACCTCTTTTGCTGTATTTTGTGCTCCCAAATTAAGTTCTTCTCATTGAGAAAAACCATTGCAGAGAACTTGCCACTTAATAAATTACATAAGTGGCACTTGGCTGGCTCAGTCAGTGGAGCATGTGACTCTTGATTTGGGGGTTGTGGGTTTGAGTCCCATGTTGGGTGTACTTAAAAATAATATCTTTAGGGGCGCCTGGGTGGCGCAGTCGGTTAAGCGTCCGACTTCAGCCAGGTCACGATCTCGCGGTCCGTGAGTTCGAGCCCCGCGTCAGGCTCTGGGCTGATGGCTCAGAGCCTGGAGCCTGTTTCCGATTCTGTGTCTCCCTCTCTCTCTGCCCCTCCCCCGTTCATGCTCTGTCTCTCTCTGTCCCAAAAATAAATAAACGTTGAAAAAATAATAATATCTTTAAAAATAAATAAAATTTTAAAAATGATAAATACATAAGAACAGATTAGACTGTATAGTTGAGAGTAGGCTATGACTATAAACGTATAAATCTATACATAAGTTACAGGAGTTATTTCCTTTTTTCCAGAAATAATTATTTGTTTAAAGATACTTAACTATCTTTAAGATATTTGTTAAGGTATCTTGCTCACTTGACTGTCCAAACCAAAAACTTCAAGTAGTTGTCTCTTTGTTGAGAAACTACATCTCAGTTATCACCTTGATTCCTTTATCTTATGTAGCTTTGAGAATGTTTATGTTCTGTGAGCTTGTTTGCTTTTTATTACTGAAAAAATTGGTGGTTGACATAACAGGAACTTGGTTTGTAGGCCTGGTTCTTCAGCTGAGCAAGTCACATAACCTCATTGGACTTTAGTTTATATATAAGACTAGAAGATCATCTAAAGGATCTTCTAGTATTAAAACTCTTTTTTATGACTAGACTCCTTTGTGCTTATCTTTTTTTAAAGAATATTAACTTACCCATGTTAATTATAGAAATCCATTTATAACTAATGCATTTATTTGATTCTTAGTCCCAATAGGAGGTGATCATCTTAAGAGTAATGAAGGTGATTTAGCAGGGAGGAAGTTATGGCTGGCTTATTTGCGTACTTCCATAATATTTAGAATAATATACACTTTACAGATGATGGTTCACTTCCTTTTCTTTTTAAATGGGGAAGTTACGGGCACCTGGGTGGCTCAGTTGGTTAAGCGTCCAACTTCGGCTCAGGTCATGATCTCACAGTTCGTGGGCTCGAGCCCCGTGTTGGGTTCTGTGCTGACAGCTCAGAGCCTGGAGCCTGCTTTGGATTCTGTGTCTCCCTCTCTCTCTGCCCCTCCCTTGCTCATGCTCTCTCTCTGTCTCAGAAATAAATAAAATATTAAAAAAAAATTTTTTAATGGGAAGTTACTTGGTTGTTACTTTATTAGGGGAAATTAAATGGCAAGGCTAGGATGAGAATCCAAGGTCCCTGACTTGTGCTGTTATACTGTGATACACAGCCCAGGAAAAAAATCATTCTCCCGTAGTGTGATGTTTGATCACGTAAGAAGCTTAAACTATATTGGAGAATGATAGTTCACCATACAGCAGAAATTTCATGTCATAGGAATGAACTTGGGTTATTGGGCAGAAACAGGGTCTCGGATTAGGTCTCCTGCATTAGTTGTAGGTAGAGTATGGTGCATGGTAGGCTCTCAGTGTTTACTGAATGATTATAGTCTGTTTCCAAAAGAAAAAAAATTCCGAGTAGGGGAGGGCTGCTGACACTTGCCTTTGCAGGCCCCTTCAGGTGATTGTTCCTGCTGATTTTGGTCTGTGGCAAGTAACAGTGATGGGTTGAACATAGTTGTTTGTGTAGGAATCCTGGAAGTTTGGTGTTTAGAACACAAAATGTTGTAAAATTTAGACCACCAGTCCTGAATATAGATTAAACCAAATGAAGCTTTGGTTTTGGTTTAATAAAATTATAATCTAAAAATTTTTTATTTTTAATGTTTGTTTACTTTTGAGAGAGAGAGAGGCAGCATGAGTGCAGGAGGGGCAGAGAGAGAGAGGGAGACACAGAATCCGAAGCAGGCTCCAGGCTCTGAGCTGTCAGCACAGAACCTGATGCGGGGCTCAAACTCACAAACCACAAGATCATGACCTGAGCTGAAGTTGGATACTCAACCGACTGAGCCACCCAAGTGCCCATAAAATTACGATTAAAAAAAAAAAAAATGTCTTTAAGTTTATTTATTTATTTTGAGAGAGAAAGAGAGCCAAGAGCATGTGGGAGGGGCAGAGAGAGATGGGGTGAGAGAGAATCCCAAGCAGGCTCTACCCTGTCAGCACAGAGCCCCAAGTGGGGCTCAAACTCATGAACCATGAGATCGTGACCTGAGCTGAAATCAAGAGCTGGCCACTTAACCGACTGAGCCACCCAGGTGCCCCTAATCAAATTATAATTTAATAATTTAAACCATTTTGGGGGCACCTGGGCGGCTCAGTCTGTTGATCATCTGATTTCAGGTCAGGTCATGATGATGTGGTTTGTGAGTTGGAGCCTCACATCAGGCTTGCCGCTGTCAGTGTGTAAGCACATTGCCTGCTTCGGATGCTCTGTTCCCCTCTCTGCCCCTCCCTCACTTGCACTCTCCCCCCTCAAAAAGAAAATTTGAAGTATTTTGAAAAGAAGGTGGATTTTTTTTTCCTACTGACTTTGTAGAAATCACGATTCCCTTGCATGTAGAATTAAATCCAAAAAGTTGTCAACTATGTATTTAGATAAGGCTTGAATATGAAGTACAAACTGGATATTTTTCTCCCAGTAACTCAAGAATATGTTTTATACAAGTTTTGAAAATAAAAATAATGAGTTCATGAGAATACTTCAGAATATTTAATTATGTTGCCACAGTAGTAAGATCTTGCAAAAGTGTTACATGTGGTTTTTTTTTCAGGAGGGAAGGGACTTGGTAGTATCATACAGAATATCCACTGGCCTTAGTTAGTAAAGTGAATATAAAGAAATTAAAGACCAAAACCTTCTTTTCATTCATAACATTTCACTGTTGACATTGCTTAGTGACCGTAAACTACCTGATCGGAAGCTTTTTCTGCGCACACTCCGAAGGTAATTGCGGTAGAGCATGACACTAATAACTCGAGCCTGAAATTGTTTTGAAACAATGTAGTAGAGAATCACATCCAGACAGGTGCTGAGGTTCATGAGGAAGGTGGTAAAGGCCCCCCAGGGATTGTAACTGTTCTCCTCCCCT